CGGAGTGTATCTCCTCTACTATAATAACAAAATTAAACAAATAAAAATGTATTTATTTTGTTTATTCATAGTATTGTTTAAAACTTCGATTTAGCCAAACAAATATAATTCAAGCCTCAAGATTTGGCCAAAAAATGGAGAGAAAGTTTTGGCTCTTCTTTTGGCAAAATCTTGAGGCTTAAACATGGTTGGGGTAATTGATTAGTTCGGCACGCGATTTACAGGCGAGGGCATAAAAAATGGAAGTTTTTCAGACAGGTGTTTATTTTTCCCCGATTTTCTCCCAAAGTTGAGTTCATCAAAGAAACCCCGAGGTTGAGGTCTTAGTCTTTAGCTAAAAAAATGGGCTCAGCTGGAATTTTTTTTGAGGATTCGGCTAAAAATATATTACCCAACTATACACGACTAAATTTCGATTTAAAGAATATCAGATACGAAGGTTTATTGCAGTGCAGCATACGATATATTCTTTTACATATTTACATTTAATAAAATCCTTAAAAAAAAGAAGCATATATTTAAATTTACAATTTGCTAATGAGTAATAACTTTTTATTTTAATGTATTTTTTGGTTGTTTTAAAAAAGCTAATTTTGGCTTATTTTTTTCTTCTTAAAAAAAGACTAAATCAAAATTTTATCGGAAAACAAATATCCCCTAAGCCTCTAGATGTCACTAAAAGATGGCAGAAGGTTTAGACCTTTTTTGGCAAAATTTTCATTTGTTTGGCTTAAAAAAACTAATTTTTGGTTTTTATATATCACCTATGCATAAGAAGAATATATTACGCCATACAAAATATCATTAAAAAAGTAATAATATTTTAAATAATTATCGGTAATGGTAAAAAAAACAAATATATATTTAACAAGAAAACAGGTAATAATAATTAATAGATATATCTTCATTTTCAACCTAAAATAAAGGCTACAGAACACGGGTCAATGAAAAGCTAAAAAAAATAAAAATAATTTACGTTATGTAAAATGTTAGAAATAAATGATTAATTTTTACTTTTATTTATTAACTAGAGTATATATTATAATAAAATAATGCAGCCTATAAACAAATCAAACAATAGAAAATCCTCGCAATTTCATAGAATATTATATTATTAGGAAATGCGTTTTTAAGTAAAATTTGATTATGTCATTTCTAATGTAACCTATCAATATGACAAGTGATTGATGCTTGTGAAAGGCATATTTGAAACTAATTTGCCGTCAAAAAATGCGCTTTTTCCTGCATTCATAGTTAGCGCGAATTCGCGGCGAAGTATAGAAAATGAATCGAAAAATATTATATTTATATCATATTTTGTATACTTCAGCGAATTAGCGTTAACAGAGAACGCGGGGCTATAGAGAAAAATTAAAAAAAATTATTTGTCTTAAAAATTGGCTTGACATTTTAAATTAAAATAATATGCATTTTAGTTTCGTTAATGTTCTCTACAAATTATTAATAATAATTTCTCTTATATAATAGATGTACACTGTGAATTTTTCTTTTATTTTTTAGAAAATACATTTTCGAATCGAATACGTATAGTATATTTTACTATTCGTGCGAATACTTATAAAACGTATTAGATTTTGAATAGGCCCACCTACTATACTAATAATGTTGAAAAATCAAGCAATATGATATGTATAAAATCTCAGTCAACCCCGTGTTTTTAGCAGTAAATGGCTCAAAAGTTCTTGGCAAGATTGCATAAAACATATATGTTAAGCTATCCTTCTATATTGGCGATAATGTTTTCGTGAAAATATCTTTTCGCGGTAATCCCTATATTCGCCAAAATATCTTTTGCGAAATATTTTTTGCGATAATGATGCAATTTTTTTTTATTACAATCCTTTACGCATAGAATATATGACTAATATTAGGTACATATCAATTTTTTTAACAATTATTTCAATAAAACTCTTATACTATCCCCCATTCATAGTTAATGCGAATTCGTGGTAAAGTATTTCAAAATTTTTGTATTCTTCGCTGCGAATTCACGCTAACTGTGAATGAGGAGTCATGGCTCCCTCCTAGCTGGTCATAATTTTTGTTTTTGTTTCTAAAATTCAATTCAAAAAAGCTAAACTAGAGAGCAGCATCTTGTAGTCAAGCATTTTAAAACATTTTTTAATCGCTCTATTTGAGCCGAGTTTTAAAAACGGCTAACTCAGCATTCTACTCAGAAAAATATTACAAGCCTGAAGATTTTCCTCATAGATGATACTTAGACATCTATTAGGGAAATTTCAAGACTTAGGCTATATTTTTCTGGCTAAAATATTAAATTAGCCTTTTTAAAAAATCGGTTCAAAATGGAGTGATTTTGTATCATTGATTGCTATACTAAGGTTCTGGTTAAAAAGAAGTTCCTGGTTCTTAGAATTGAAGGGTCAGGTTTTGGTTTCAAACTCTGTTTACAATTGGCGAAAAAAACATCAAGCATAAAGGTCTTCTCAATTAAATGAATTTATGAATCATGTACAACATTTTAAACAAATATGCGTACATAAATTAGTTGTACTTTGTTAGCACCGGATAAGGGGGTTTTAGTACTTATAAATTTTAAGAGCATTTCGGGTTTCTAACTTTAATTCAAACGTTATGCCGTAAGAAGGTGAATAATTATTTAAAAATTAATATTGTCGTAGGCAGGGATTCGAACCGAACCCGAACCCGGAAAAAACCCGGGTAACCGAACCTGAACCCCATTTATAAAATTTTCAAAACCCCGAACCGAACCCAAGAATTTTATTTGAACCCGGGTTCAATCGGGTTCAGTGTATTATTTAAAATCATATATTAATATATGTAAATACAAATATTATATTTTCAAATTTCCAATTAAATGAAGTCTTAATAAATTTTAAACAACTTAATTCATTTATGCCATTTTTAAATTTTATCTCGATTCCTATTGGAGTGTTAAAAAATTTTAAACAATTGAATTAATTTACGCCATTTATTTTTAAATTTTTATCTTATTATTCTTAAAGATTATTAATTAGAAGAAAATGGTTAACAAATCAAAGTAAAAATTATTATATTGTTAATTTAAAAAATTCTAAACATCTAACTTAAAAATTGTTAAATGTAGAGCAGTTTTTGTGAACTTATTAAAATGATTTTAAAATTTATATATGCTAATCATTTATTTTTGGTTCAGTTTAATTTTTTACAAGATATTAATGAAGTGCATCTTATAAATGAAATTAAATTTATAAATATCTCTTTTTTAATTCTGAAATCATTGCTATTAATATGAAACTCCCTAAGCCTGTGTTAGATTGCCACAGATGGCATTCAACCCATGATATGTTAGAAAGGCTGATTTTACTAAAACCCAATATCGAAGATTTTTTTACAGAGCAATCTGATTATTTATTGACTGAAGATTGGAAAGAGATAATAACGATTGTTGAAATTTTCAAACCGCTAAAAATCGCAACCAAACAATTCCAATCTGAACAGTTAACACTGACAGATTTTTATGCAGCATGGTTAAGATGCTGCATCGAACTGGAAAAAAATGCAAACCATTTTGCTCAATTACTATATTCTTGTCTTAAGAACAGAGAAGAAAGGTTTATAAAGAACGAAATTCTCTTAGCTGCCATATACCTGGACCCAAGATACAAGGTTAATTAAAAGCTTAGTAAATTAATTATTTTAGATTTATATTAAAATTGTTATTTTATGAAATATTTAAATATAAACAATATAAATCCTTAAATATTACAGGTATTACTTAGTGATGATGATAAGATTTGTGCGAAAAAACATCTTGTCAATTTATGGAGACGAATTAAAAGCTTAACAACGCCGATTTTATCTGATGATATTAGTTCCGATGAAGTTATTGAACAAGAAGATGATTTAGAGAAATTGATACAACTTAAAGAAAGGCAGGAGAAAATACTTAAAAGAGGGCCAACGATTGCTGAGAAAAGTATTGGAACAATAATTACTGGATTTAGCGATTATAAAAGAAAATATTTTGCATTTTTGGGAGTCTGCTAAGCTGGAACATCCTGAATTATATATTTTATCTAAAATCTTATTTGCTGTTCCTGCAACCCAAGTTAATTTTTCATATTTTCACATATAAATACATTTAACATAGGTTAGCGTTGAAAGATCTTTTTCACATTTGAAATTCATTCTTTCACCACATAGATCGAGGATGAGTAAACAACTCTTGGAAGATATTATGCTAATACGTCTAAATAAAATTTTTAAAATTGAAACATGACTATATGCTTTGTATTTTTAACTATATTTGCCTATAAATAAAATAAAAAATTATTTTTTATATCAAATTTATGTCTAGTTTTTTATTATGATTTAAATATAGAATTTTTTTTATCAACTCAAAAATTCTTGAACCCGAACCGAACCCGAACCAAACCCGGGTTCAAAAATATTTCCCTGAATTGAACCCGAACCGAACCCACTTTTTTTTTATACCCCGAACCGAACCCGGGCAAAAATTTTGTCGGGTTCGCATCCCTGGTCGTAGGGTTAAGGTAAAGAAGTGTATCCTTAATGGCACTTTAAAAATAGTTAATTGGTAAATCCTTTAAGACATCACTAGTTTTTAATAATAGCGATATATTTTAGAGTGAATTCATATCAGTGCGAATTCGCAGTGTAGTATATGAAATTGTATACTTCGCCGTGATATCGCGCTAACTGTGAATGAGGGGTTAGGTGATGCGAAATTTCTATATCTTAATTTTGTGCCGAAGTCAAATTAAGTCTATGAATAAAATCGAACATAAGAATATTGAGGCTAATTACGCAATGGTTTAATTTATATGTAAAAAAATGGATCAAAAATGCATATAAATTTCAAAATAAATAGCTAGGATATTAGATATGAATAATGAATAAATATGGACATCTTAAAACATTAGAAAAAAAATTAAAAAATCATGCATATATATATATATCATTTTAATTAAATTCAAAAGGCGAAAAAAGCTTACCAATGTTTTCACGTACGCGATTGCGGAAATAAGCGAAGGGGCTTAAACTTCCCGGCAAAGAAAATAAGAAATTTTCGGGTAGTGGTAATCCTTCCGGTCCAGGTTGAAGCAAGGCAAAAGCCGTGAGGGCTTGCTGACTTCCCAAAAGACCGCCTAGTCCACCAAACCGGTTTCCAAAGCCACCTAGACCTAGAGCGCCGAGCCCACCCAATCCCATGGTGTTAATCCCTCCGAATCCTTGGTTGGTCATAAGAGACCGTCCCCCAGCATCAATTATGGGCGAGTTTATTAGGCCTAGATTGCGGTTGTTCCTGATGTTACCAGCACCGTTATTATGGTTAGTGTTGAGATTAAGGGCGTTAGGGCTGTTTATAATGTTGGGATTATAATCAACTTGCCGAAAGGAACGTTTATCATCAAATGAAGGATTATCCTTGGGAATAGAATTCGTTTTCAGCTTAATATCTTTGACAATTAGTGCATTAGGCGAATCGGAATTCTTTTTAAAGTTGGGTGAATCTTGTTTGAGACGTTTCTTGTCCATCATGTTCACGTATTCGGTGCGTATACCGTTAGGGCTAGCAGGATCATAGAAATATGCGAAAGGGAACCCTGGAGGCAACATTGCATTATTATTGCCATTTCCAGCTAGATTGCTAGGATTAGAATTAGAGTTGACTTTTGCATTTGTTTGCTGTTTATAAGCCTGAGGGTTGAGTCCATAACGCGGTCCGTCGTTATTATTTCCCTGGTTCCACAAACCAGGGCCAAAAGGGTTTCCGTTATTTGGTGTGTTATCATTTACATCGGAAGGGGCCCTGTGTCTATTTTTGATAAGATCCGCGACCGCTCTACGATTTCTCTCCATATTGAAAGCTACTACATCTTCCCCATGAATAACCTTAACATTATCGCCTTCTGGGATACTCCTTTTAAAAACACCGCCACCAAATCCGCCTATACCAGAAAATCCGGGTCCTAGAGCACCTCCTAGTCCACCCCCAAAGCCCAAACCTCCTACGAGATTACTGAGAAGCGGTCCACCAAATAGCTGGGTAAAGAATCCACCAAGTCCGGCTAAAGAGAGGGAAAAGGCTGCGGCGGAGAAAAATCCGTATGGTCTGCTCCGCCCGTACGGGTAAGTCACACAAAAACTTCTCGGGGCGCAGTAGGCCCATATGCCCAGATGGCCAAATATAGGGTTTCCTATGCCGATTCGGCCTCCCGGGGGCTGAATCGTCTGCGGATTAAGCAAGACGGGTATTTCTCCCGGGCCGCCTCCTAAGCCCGACCCTTGTACACCCGCGACGCCTGTGTTAACTGTAGTAGTTGACGTGACCGGGTAGATAAGAAACGGATTTCGGGCCAGGGCCCAGAAGGGGCTCCATATACCAACCCAGTTTATAAAGGATATGCAAATAAGCAAGCCCACCACTAGGGCGGCCAAGGGGAATGAGCGGGAAAGCATATTTTTCTTGCGCTTATTCTGTTTTTCTTTGTAATAGAGCTTGTTATCATCCCGAGCCGCGATAGACCGATCTGAACTAGAACACACGCTACAACTTCGGCACTCACTCCTGTTGCTTCGATAGCTCTGTTGTCGGTTGTTTCTGTCGATAGTCGCTATTTTGTTTGTTTGATTTATGTTAGAGCTAGGGGGTTGAGGAGCGGTTATGTAACTAATTTGTTGGGGGTTTAGGTTAGAAGAAGGGGGAGGGCCACTAAGCTGGGTTGTAGTAACGAATGCTTGCTGACCTATGGGCTGCTGATTGTACCGATTTTGGATACTGAGTGTAGCGTTATTCGCGAATGATTCGTTAGGGTAATAAACACGTTCGATATCGCGTTCCCTTTCAAGAACTTTCTGATCGCCTCGGTACATGTATCGATCGAATCAGAATTACCCGTTGATGGGAGATTATGGATGAGATATAATTCCAAGAATAAAGACGAGACGAGAGTCGAATATTTGGAGATGGAAGACGCTATCCGAAATATTATTCGATAACGATTTCTTCAGTTTAAATGTTTTAGATAAAAATAAATTTTGTATTGAAATTTAAACGTGTGAATAATAGGAATGTTCACTTTTTTATCTTCGTTTTTTTTGCGGCTGCAAAGCATAATTTTGGTTCGCCAAAATATAAAACTTTTTTTAAAAAACAAATTAAGTAATTCGCGAAAAAAATTTGATTGCAAATTTCGTAAAATAGATATACAATAAAAAAAATTTTCAAACTTTTTAATGTTAGGAAAATCAATACACCTATAATATTTTATGATTGATTATCACGTGATACAGTTTTAATACAAAAAAATAAAAATCCAAAAAAATAATAATAGGTTTTACCTTGATGCGTTTTAATTTAAATAAACAAATTAATAAAATTATGGTTTTAAATATAAAAAAATATATATCATAAAAATGGGAAAAGAGAGGCTTATAAAATTTCATGTAAAATTTTCGATATTCTGGCCTCAATCTATGTTTTATTTGCTGTTAATATTTTTTTTTATTATATCTTGGTTTAAAAAAAACAAAAAAGTAAGGTAAGTAAATAAAGATAGTTTTAAAATAAGTGGAATATAAAAAAAATATTTATCGCCTAATTTAGAATCATCATACTCATTTAAATATAACAATAATGAGACAAATTTCCTAAAAATTAGATCGATTGCAAAAGGCCGAATAAAAAGTGAAAGAAAGAAATTCGGACTTTCTTTCGTCATTTTTTTTTAAGTTTCTCTTTTCTACATTTTTTTTTTCTCACTTTCTTCGACATAAAAAAAATGCAAAAAAAATAGTTTCTTTAAAGTTATTTTTTTTATCATATTGCCGTTATATAGGTCGATATTTATTGAGCAAAAGTTGACAAAAAAAAGCTTATAAAATTATGGTAGCAAACTTATGACATTTTTTAAAAAAAAATATTTCTGACATAGTAAAATTATATTTTATTTTCAAAAAATTTGAATATTTCTTTTTTAAATATTTATTTCGATTTCTAAATTTTTTTTTCCTTTGGGAAATGTAATCCATGAGGGCGATTTTTAAAGTTAAAACATCTGATTTGACCAGAAATGTATTCCGGTGCAGAGTATATCAACTGTGTGAGTTTCGGACAATTTTGCCATTAACTTTTGATTACATTTAATTTATTTTCACTTTTATATAGATTTTTCGTATAAATTAAAAAATACATAAAATTTACTGGTAAAAATTGTCTAAAATTCGCAAGGTATAGTTACTCTACACGGAATACATTTCCGATCAAATCAGACTTTCCAAATTTAAAAATTGGTGTTTATAAATTATATAAAAATGATACTCCGGCTCTCAATTAATTCCATATCCCAATCAGAGACCTTCATGGGCCAGGCCGGCCCACTGACTAATATTATATTTTCTAGGTGGCCTAAACCGGGCCTGGGTTTTTAAAAAAATCTAATGGTCTTGGACAATTTTTAATTTAAATTTAGCTTATTTAAAATGGTTGCCAACTTAAAAAAATATAGCAATTTTTTCTTCTAATTTCAGTATTGTAAACAAAATGATTGAACACTTAAATATTGTTTATTTTCACTAAATCCAATAATTTAATTTTGGCTATGGTTTTGAGAAAATTTTCTGTAACTAATTATGGGCTTTGCCGGGTTTGGCAATTTTTTTTAATATTAAATATGAGTTGTGTCTGGGCATTAAAAATTTTAAAACGCGAGCCTGGGTCAGGCTTGGTCAAAAAATAAAAATCATATGAAGGTCTTTGATCCAAGTACGACACATATATTATTTGTAAATTTATTTTAAAAAAATCTTCCTTTCATTTAATTAATGTAATATAATTATTTATTAATGTCCGAATTCTGGTAAATTTCAAGATGCGTACATTTTTTTTTAAAAAAAAAAATATATAAATCGCAATGTTTTCTGCTTTTAGCCTATAAATTTATGGTCATTAGAGGAATATTAATTAAAACCTAATAAAAAAAAATTCAAAATTTGAAAACGATTGCGATTGCGATTTTATTATTTTTAGTTTAATTACGATTTTTAACCTCATTTTATTTTTTATTTTGTTTCTATTTAAAATATTATTTGTTTTGTTGGCATAACGGTGTTAAAGAGATTATGAGTTTAATGCTCTTATAAAAAGGTATAAGGAATGTTACTAAAATGTTCAAATTTTAAATTGTCGATTTTCATAAATTAATAATTTTCTTCTGCATTTAAAAACATAATGAAATTAGAGAAATGTACCGATTAGATGCGATTGAGAATCACATTTATATTAATTTTTTTTTGTGTATGTTCCCTTTTTCTATTTTTCTATTTTCTTATTTTGGTTTTATCTTAATCTCATTCTTAGTGCTATGTATTGAAGAAAAGTGCCATAGCGCATCGTCAGAAATTTATGAGACCTGACAAAGGTTGTCTGCCTACTCAAAAATCTCTTTAGTCATCACTTAACGTTCCATCATTCAAAACGATTAAAATTTAAGATAATATTTTAGGCAAATATATAAGATAGCTCCGATTACCACTTGACTTAAACATTGAGCCAAAACTGTGATCATAAATAAAAACAATTTTTTTGTTTAAGGATAACCTTCAATTGCAATCTATATTTTTAAAAATGATATTTCCGTGATTATTCCAAAATAAATAATTGTTTTCGTAAAAGCCAAAAACGACAAGTAAATCAAAAGGAATAATTTAATCTCGCTGCCTCTTCGTGTAATATCTATTTAAAATATATAATGTATTGACAATGTTTAAAAGCCAATTAATAATAGAGGGAGAAAGGGGGAAATAAGGGAAGGGTGAATAATTAAAATGAGGTTAAGGTTAGCGTCTTGAATCGCAAAAATACAAATATCGGTATAAAAATAAAATAATTAATGATAATACTATATCGGGGGGGGGGGGGGGGGTGAGATATTATTATAATGTAGGTTAAAATAACATTTATAAAAAATAAAAAATAAATTTTTTGAAAATAAAATTTTGTCAATCAATAAAATTTATAATTAGATTATCATTAATTTAGTAAATAAGGCTACCACTTTATTAGGTGCATATTGCCCCGGTCTACAATACCCGATCGGGGTGAAGTTATTTAGATTGTGCAAATAAAAAAATTTGATCATCATAATTTGTAAATCATTATTATGACATAAACGATAATGTTACTAACCTTAACCAAACGAATTTGAAATTTTTTTTTCTATCCCCGAAGATATGCATTTTAAAATTAAATAAAAAAAATTTAATCTTTAAATTTAGGGATGATTAAATGTTTAAAAACTTTTTAAAATATAAAATTAGTAGTTTATATATTTTCAAAATTCATCCTTCAGATATGACTAATAATGTCATTTTATTTATTTTTGCCAAATTCTAATTTTATTATTTTACTCAAACAAAAGAATTTTTATAAGAATCAGGGATGTAACAGAAAAATTTAACCCTAATTCCCTTCTCCAGAAATTTTTTCTTATGGGGCTAATCTTATAACTTGTGGGTTCCTTAGTTCCTCATATTGTACTTTGGCTTAAGCCACCCCATATAATGGAGATGTCTTTTATACTGCTGAGATGGAATTATAATAATTAGGACCACTATATTTAAAATAGGTACAGTCCCCAATATTTAACATTTAAAAAATTAGTTTGGGTCAATATATTCAAAAAAAATATGATTTATTGTTTTTGGTTATTTATAATTATATAATATTTTTTACATAATTTCCTAATAAAAAAATTTTTTTATAATTTTAATTAAAATTTTTTTAAAAAAATCAAATTAAAATAAAAAGTTGCTAAAAATGAGATTTTTTTGTTTTCCCAACAAAAAAAGGATTTTAATATACTTATTAGCATATAAAATATTGATTTTTTATTACAATCGGTTAGAGATCATATAAAAATTAATCTAAATATCAGAATGGAACTCAATTAGTTTTGTATATATATTGGAAAATCTGTGGATTAGCACAGTTCTAAATTATAATAGTTAAATTTATTCAATTTTTAATTGCACAATTATTTGGAAGCATAAACAAATTTTAATAAGTAAATATAGGTGTAAAATATATTATATTGAGAAAAAACAAAATAATAATTTTAATATTTTATATTTTTGAGAATATGGCAAAAATTGGAACATGGGTATCAAATTTCATAATTTTTTTTTTAAATTAAATCAGGTGAACATTAATTCACCTTCCACCCATTTTTATTTGCAGTAAATTTATTGATAAATATTATATTAGTTTCGTATTAATAATTGACCTAAATAATTGTTATTGTTCCAATAATATTTCAAATCAAATAATAAATAACAACTTCAAAATAATTGTTAATATTAATTATATTTATATATCTTAAATATTAACCCCACCATCATTATAAATAAATTTTAAATATTAACCTCTCCTTTATTACAAATAAAACAATAACCTTGACTTGCTATTTTAAGATGTAATAAATAATAATACCTTGATTTTAAAATAAATAAAATATTTCATAAATTATTAAAAATATCTTTTTAAGTTACCAATTGGTGCTTGACCTTGGCTAACAAATTTTAGCAACAAATATTTGAATTAAAAAAATATATTTATTTTGCCTCTAGAAAATTACTTGGTAATTTATCCACATTTTTATTAAACTCTTCAAAACGATCCCAAAACCAATAACATCCAGTATATGCACATAATTGCCAGAGGCCTATGTTACCATAATAACATAAAGCCCAATAATTTGAAAAAATCCCTACACCACATATCACAGTCGCTGCCAATAACAAGAGAACTGCTAGTTTACTAACAATTGGTAACATTAATCTAAAAAATACACTATATAAATAAGCAAACCCTCAGTTTTTTTATCTCACCTAAAAAAAAATCAAAATTTCAAAAAATGACCGAATTGCTAGATTGGTAAAGATTTTTTAATTGGCATGGCATATGGCTATAGTTGTCTTGATAGTTTTTTATTAAAAATTAGTTCCAAATAAGATCATGATGTGCACATATTATTCATGGAATTTTTATTTATCTATAATTTATCAATAATATGTCATGTCATGATAATATCTAAGACAATTTGGCAGCTCGCTTACGACAATGTAATTGAAAAACCTACGATAGTGATCCTCCCAATCGGAAAATTTGCTAATCAAGCTAAACCCAATTAATCATTATGTCATTGAATAAACCATTATAAGACTTTGTTAAACAACACAACAAATAATCTTGTCATATATGGTAACATATGGTATGATAATTAGAAAAACAGAAAGAACGTCTAAAAGAAATAATGAAATTATTATCTTTGTGAAAATATAGAATAAAAAAGTATTTAGTAGAGAATTTGCCTAAAATTAAACTAAATAAATCTAATTTTATTAAAATGCACTAAATATAAGATCTATTTATAAATATATATTAAAAGGTGATAAACTTAGTGTGGTGAAAACGGCTCAGTTTGAGCCGATTTTTAAAAACGGCTAACTCAATACCTTATCCAGAAAAATATATGCAAGCTTAGAGATTTTGCTCATAGATAGCACATAAGATTGAATATCTATTGGACAAATCTCGACACTCAGGCAATATTTTCTTGGCTATAATGTTGAGTTTGTTGAGTTAGTTTTAAAAATCGGCTCAAATCGAGACATTTAACAACACTAGTTTTCAACCTCCTATACTTTATATCATACCCTTAGCAAACAACCATTCGGTTAGCTTCAGAAGAAATCCAAATAATTCCTGGATTCTAACCTATATCTGTGCAATAAATGTTCTCCAATCACTGACTAGGCATTGCACTACGTTACAAAATGATACTTGTTTTATATATAAAATAAACGACATGTTTAGATATTTTATGGAAAAAAGAAAACTACACCATTCTATGGGGAAGGCATTAGTCATTTGCTTCTCATATCTAATTTTCATCTATCCACTTCTACACACGCATCTGAAACAAACAACACTACTAAATTATTATCATTTGCATTCCTATACTTAATTTCCTAATTAAAATTACCAACTAATAAGAACCTTCCTTTGGTTCTCGAAATATTTTTTAATAAATCTATGAACTTCTTTAGGTAAGATGGGGGTGGGTGGAGCGTTATGTACTATCTTCACTGAAATTGAAAAAGGGTCAATTGTATTTATTGATAGAAATAGAAATGGGAGGGATTTAGAGGTAAGAGAAGGATGTGGGATGTGTTGTAAACATGCAAATGATGTAATATTTTTTACCAAAAATAAAATTATCTTTTGTTATATTCATATTTTAGAATTTTGTTTATATTTCCAGAGGAATTTGGCTGTTAAAAATGAATGATTATAAAATTTGAATAATTAGTTAAAGTTCATAAAAAGTTTATATAAGAAAGAATTGTTTTGATAATTATTATTGAAATTTTTACTTTTAAAATTGTTATATTTAATATTAATAAATTAAAATCTTATTCCATATTTAATTTCTGACTCTGATATACACAAATCTGAAAAGTGTTACCGAAGTGTGGAAAATTTAAAATTAATTTGAACCAGGGAGAGAAGATTTCATTAGGGAATTTAAGGTAAAAATAAAAAACGATTGATTCATGATATATTTATTTTATAAACTATTAATAATTTTGGTAATATTTCTATATTCTAATAATTTCGTTAGATTATTTAAACTTTATTTTAATTAGATTTTTGTTAAGTACGTCGTGATATATATTACACAGATAAGTATGTGGAATTTGTTAATAGATAATATGTTGTTAATAGTTCTTGTGTTGATGATTTTAGTTTTTATATTAGGTATAACAATGGGAAGAAATCCGGCATACGTTAAGATAGAAAGTAGAGAATTAGAAAAATTAAAGAATTTAATTAACGGAGGAAGATAAGACAATATATATAGATAATTATCGACAAATAAGGTGCTATCGTTGTAGTCAGCCGGGTCACATGCCACGACAGTGTGAATTAACTAAAGATTTGAAGTGCGTGAGATGTGGTAAGAATAGCCATCTAGCAATAAAAAGCCGAGTGAACAATTTTATAGTGAGATGTAATAAATGTGGTCAAGATGGACACACACAAGAAAGGTATAAGAACTGACTAGGAGAAATAAAATTTAATTTTAATGATAATTTTTTTGATATTAATAAATTTTTGAATTTTGTTAATTATAAATCAAATGACAAAAATAGCAGTATAGATAAAACGAGAGATATAAAGATAGAAAGTAGAAATTGCGAAATTTTATAGAACAAATAATTCGATTTGTGAAGATGTGCAGATTGAATTAGAAGATTTTTTAAATAAAAGTAGATGCGAGAATCAAGATAAAAATTGAGGAAGCCGAAATATGTTTTTATTAGATACAGGAGCTGAAATTAGTCTGATGAGTGTAAAAGATTTTAATGATATTGGCCAGAAGAAGAATTTATGGTAAAAAAAAAATAAGAACCAAACAATTAGATGGTAGTATTGTGAAAATTTGAGGTTATTATAGGATAAGGTTACCTGGAATTAATAAGTGTATAACTTTATGGATAACTACCCTGAAGATTGAACCAATTTTAGGTTGGTGTGACATAAAGACTATGGGTCCTGTCTATAATTGGTGGAATTTTTTTGAAATGGTCTCTGAAACTAAGGAGATAAATAATGAAATAGTAAAGAGCGATTTCGATAAAATTAAGCTACCTAGTATGAAAGTTAAACAAGATTTAGTTCTCGATAAACTTAGAAATCGAACACCAGAATTTTTGATTAGATATAGTGACAAAATAGAAGAGAACAATGTATCAAGAGATATAAAGTTAATAGAGGTAACTCCAGTAGAAATCAAAAAACAGAGAATTAAGAATAAAGTAGAACAGGAAGAGATTCTTGAAAGTAAATTCAGCCATGAAATAAACATTATTTTAGATCAGTACAAGGAGGTTTTTAAAGAGGAATTAGGTACTCTGAAAAATGTTGAAGTATATAAAATTATTGGAGAACTATCAGGCTAAATTTTGTGAATTAAGAAAATTACTTTTTTCTTGGATAGAGGAAATAGATAAGGAAATTAAATAAATGGTTAAAAAAAGGTATAATACGGCCAATAGTTCAGAACGTCTGGGCTATACCGCCAGTTCCCATAAGAAAACCAGATAATAGCTTTAGGTTATGTTATGCTTAGATTATAGGATATAGTTAAATCCATGGATTACAACAGTAAAATATCATTTACCGAGAATAGAACAATTATTGGCTAATTTAAAAGTGGCCGAAGATAGATTTTTTTAATGCATATTTACAGATTAAGCCGAATGAGAATACAAGCAAAATGTTATACAAAACATAGAGGGTTGTTTGAATGCAGATTGCCATTTGGGTTGAAAGTATCTGCTCCAATATTTCAGAGGACTATGGCTGCTTTATTTCAAGGAAGCGGAATAATGTATTATTTAGACGATGTTTTGATATCAGGTAGAACAGAAGAGGAACATAATCAAGATTAATTAAAGTATTAAACATAATTTTAGAAAATGGTTTAAGAGCGAATATAAAAAATTGGTATTTTTGAGATAACGTATTTAGGACATATAATTAAAGAAAATAAAATTTCTCCGATTGCAAAGAATTAGATAAGATTATGAACACGAGAGCACCGAATAATAAAACAGAAATGCAAGCGTTTTTAGGAGCTGCTAATTATTATCATCATTACACCGTTGTATGAATTATTAAAAAAAAAAAATTTGAATTGGGAGTATTACATAAAGAAAGTTTTTAAATATTGAAGATAAGGATGGTGGAAAGACCTATTTTGAATTGTTTAATGAGACATTAGATATTATTTTAGCTGTGGATGTATCTAATGAAGGTATAGGAGGATCTTTATTACAAATGGTTGATAATGTAGAAAAGCTGATTTTATTTTTGCCAAGACAGTATAACAGTACTGAAAAAACTACTCTACAATAGAAAAAGTAGCTTTAGCAGTCAATAACCATTGGTAGATTTATTCAAAAAAGACAATAAAGAATTAATAATTTCACGAGGTTGCAAAAATGGTTAATCTAAGTTGGTTATTTCGATTTTAAATAGATTCAGAGCGGATAAACAAAATCGTTTACCAGATATATTATCAAAATTGTTTAATAACGAAGTAGAAAACAAAAATATAGAGCCAATGATTAATAGTTTTGAATATTTTAACGAAGAAGAAGAATTAAATAATAATATTATAAGAGCTTGTAGATACAAGAGGAAGACCGATAACTTTGGAGCTAGTATATAAGATATACAAGCAAGTTGATGAATTATAAGAATTAGAGCTTGTTTGAAAGGAGATACAGGATGGAAAAGTGAAGACAAAGCATTTAAAAACATAAAGAGTAAAATAAATATAGAAGAAAATTGTTTAATGATAGGATATAGCTTAGTGATACCAAATAGGTTAAGAAAAGATATTCTAGCAGCGATAAATACCGGACATCAAGGTATAGAAAGAATGAAGAACGAGTGTATATTTGGTGGCCAGGATGAATAGTGAAATAGAAGAATTAGATAAGAGTTGTGAAACATGTAATATGGGTGCTAATGTGCCACAAAAAACAAGGAAGATAAATGCCTAGAGACAAATGTTCCATATGAAAAAATACATGTAGATTTTTTAGAATTTGAAAAGAAAAAATATTTTATCATAGTGTTCAAAATGGATAGATTGCCAACAGGTGTCAGGACTAACAACAAGCGTAGCTTTGGATAAGGTAAAAGATTCTGGTAAATATGGATTAATAAAAACTTTAGCAACAAATGGTGGTCTAGCGTTCAAAGGCAAAGCATTTGAAAAATTTTGTGATTGGTGGGAGATTTAAAATTTATTAGCGCCATCACAAGTA